GACACGGTATATATCAATCTAAAACCTCAAATCAGGAAACATCATTATTACTGCAGCACGTTAATATGTCCCCTTGTCAACCTTTGGAATCAAATAGTCCTCTATTATCCAACAGATCCAAGAAATCTTTAGGAATAATTCCGAATGGTCACAAACACGGTATATGTCAATGTAAAACCTCAAGTCTAAGGGATTGTACTCAACCTCAAGGTAAAATTGCTGCTTTTCGAATGAGCCTGCCAATTATCGATCCCCGCGTATTGTCTTAGAAAAACAATCTATGGAATGGGCAATTTATCTACAATTTGTGAGTCAATTGACTCACAAATCAACATTAGTATAGAACCACCCAAGAGTTTTACATCATGTGAAGCAGAACTGACCGAGTCCAATTACCCAATAGAACCCTTCGAACATGAACTTACAGAAATTAACAAAACCAGAGAATACTTGAATAATTTATCGGAAAATGATTGCACCCCTTTCATTTCGAGGGCCTCGAATATCCCCTTATGTCCTCCTAAAAACCTTACAGATTCCCACAAGGTACCTTCCACCATGATCCCCGTTCGGATTACTGCACGTGAACATCGATCTATCCGCAATTATAATTCTGGCATGCTCAGTAATCGTCGTAACCTCCGGAAAATTAAATTAAGCAGCAATGCCTCGTATACCTTCTTACCCTCCTTGTTCCTATCCAACTCGATCGAGGTCATTAGTCAATAAAATCGATGAGCTGTCTGTAACTGTTTCTTCACTTCCTTTGGATATTGGGGTCATTACGGAAACATGGCTTTCTGCTAATGTCAGCAATTCAGCGATAAATCTAAATGGCTTCTCCATATTCAGGCATGACCGACGAGATGGTAGAAGAGGTGGAGGTGTTTGTGTTTATTTAAACGATCGTATGCCTGTGGTTCATCTTAAGAAACTTTCACATCCCGAATATGAATCTTTCACATCCCGAGTTTGAATCGTTTGTCATGACACGCTCAAGTCAGTATAATCAGACTGTATTTTATTTATATCAGTTATCACATCCACAGGCAATTTTATGCTGTCAAATACCGTCGGTTGCAACTAAGGGTGAACAGTTGCAGATAAAACATTCCCTATTCTCATTAAAAAGCCTGTAAAAGTTTCCAGTAGGTCTCTAGCCCAACACGTTCAGACCACACAAAGTTTTGTTACTTATTATTGTACACATGGGAAACAACAATTAAGTGTTGTTGTTGTTGACAAACATTGAAGATTCTAATCACGCGAATGTTTTTATGAGCGACTGTTCATCGTTAGTTGCAAACGACGGTACAACATACTATGAACATTTTTCCGACTGTGACCGAATGTGCAACGATATATTTTTCAAAGTTGTTAACAATTCCTAAAATTTGTTTATAGTAAAACAGCCTGCTCAGCACTCACTACTCACGATGATTTCATTTAAAAATGCAGTTACCAGGAAAGGAACTGATTCTAAAATATGTAAAATTAAAAGCATTGGCTATTACGATATGTGAACACAAGGTTTATAGTTGCTATTTGTTATAAAATCCTATAAATAAACCGATTCAACAATAATTTTGCCTCGAATTTGCATATTCTATGCTGCATGTTTATATTTTATTTTTATGGTATAAAAATAAAATTGTAATACTATGAAATAAAATACATTTCTGTTTATTGACAAGTACTTATTTAATGTCTTCTTCATCCAGTGGTCAGAGTAAATTTCTACTTCTAGCAAGTAAATATTTGACAAGCAGTCTGGAATAAGCACACGACTTTTAATGCATCAGCCAAATCCAAGTGTGCCTATCCTCCTCGCCCAGCCACTTTCCTGTAAAGCACAACCCGGGGGTTGGGCATTTCCACTCGAACCTTAGCCCCGGCGGGGCATTTGAAATTAATAATTTGGATTCTTGCACTTCACTTGTGGAATTAATATTAGAATGTTAGGGTTTGTAATCCAAGTGAGAATATATACATGTATATATTTTGTAACCCAAGTGAGAATATTTTGTAATCCAAGTGAGAATATACAAATGTATATATTCTCACTTGGATTACAAACCCTAACATTCTAATTTTAATTCCACCAAATGAAGTGCAAGAATCCAAATTATTGAAGTCCACTTTATCATAACCCGCACACCCGAATACCTAAATATATATGAACTTACTGTTAAAGCTCAACAGCTGGCCTCTGTAGCTCAGTTGGTTAGAGCGCTGCACCGGAATCGCAGGGCCGTAGGTTCAATTCCTACCAGAGGACTTTGTGCTGCATTTTTCGCAGTCGTTCCTGGTTAGGTCTTAAAATGTATATATTCTCACTTGGATTACAAACCCTAACATTCTAACCCTAACATTTTAAATTAAGGATTTGGACGTTTTGCGATCACTGATAACTTGATAATAATATAAAACAAAACACTTCTATCTGCAACTTTTACAATCACTGATAAATTGATAATAATTTAAACCAGTCAAGTTGTAGTTTAAATAGAGAATAATACATGGGTGCATGAAATACCAGATTTTTTTCGAGTGTTGAACATGAGTGTACAGCGAACAAATGGGCGCAGCGAACGAGTGAGATGTCATGTTCAACACGAAAAATAAATCTGGTATTTCCAACCACCCATGTATTTTTATGTTTATTATATAAAGGACAGTCTTAAATGAAAAGCGATAATTTTTACAGAAAAGCGATAATTGAAAAGTCGATAAATTTCACATGTGAGATTATCATGAATAATTTCGCATGTGAGATTATCATTTTTATCTGTGCTCTAAATGTCTGTAAAACACTATACTTTACATGTATATATAATAAAAATTCATAAATTTGAACCATGCTAGAGCATGACAACAGCAAAATGCTCTATACTATGATGGACAATATTTTGGGAGGTGAAATACACGAACAATAAACCAGAGAGTGTTTGCTTGGAACTCACGGGTTGCAACACCCATGATTATTGATCATGAGGAATTTCAGGTAGAAGGTTTTCAGGGGAATTCAGGTAATTGCCAGGACATGAGAAGGTGAATTTGGAAAACAACTGTATTTTCGGAAAAATTATTATATGTCCTGAAAAATATTTGTACATCTGGAAACATTTTGCTAATTTTGCCATTTTGCTTTAAATAAACATTAATACAGCAGAAATTAGGTAAATGTGACTTTGAGGGCTTTGTAATACAGACATAAGGTTTGTGTATGACAATATTTTTCAGATTTAGTATGTTAGAGTCACAACGTCTATGGTGATTTTGGTAAGTTGTAAGAAATGGTTGGGATTTCCGAGCAGTAATTCTAGAAGGAATAGACATAGTTGTAACATTTCCTACCTCTTGCACAGTTGGTGTACAAAGTCCAAATGCCTCAGCCATTCAAGGGATTAGTGGCGATGGCCCGTTTGATAGGGTGGTTGTTTCATTCGATGGCGCTTGGGGAAAAAAGGCTTATTCGAGGTATTTCCATTAATATATTGGTTATTTTTCGCTTGGATAGGGATATTTATTAACGGTAAAGACCAATCCAATCCGATTTTGGTTGCTTTTCGGGCATATTTGCAATTTGATTGATTTATAGTGCCTTGTTTTGTAAGTCCCTATTAGTATCGTGAAACGGCACACTTTCCAGGTCCCCTAAACAATGGAGAAAAAATATTTCATTCAAACCAGAAATATAACATCCGACTGCAACTAAGTCCACAATCGTTTCTTACATCGCGCGTCAGTGCTCCTTCTATTGATTCAAGAGAAGAATCAAAATTGGCTTCTGCGGGAGGATCAAATGAATAAATTTTCATTCAATTTTGAGCGCATCAAACTAGGGAAGTTTCCAAAGGGTTCCGAGCATGCGCTTGTTTCTGCAGTGTAGCCGCCATCACATGCGCTTTACGCGCACAAGATCCCTAGTTCGATCCTGGGCAGAAGCATGCATTTGGTGTTTTATTTACAGGAAATGAAAACAGCAAATTTCAGCAACGGACAGAACCCGAGCTTCACCGGCCAAGTTTCTGTAGTGTAGTGGTCATCACGTGCGGTTCACATGCGCAAGGTCCCAGTTCGAATCTTAGAATTTTAACTTGCGTACATGATCAATTGTGAAAGGTAAACCAATTTTTAAAGACCGTTAATTTGTGACGCACGATTCGGGTTACACAATTAACTTCTCCTTTTATTGCTTCCATTTCCACCGTTTTAGCCATCGAAGAGAGAAGACCGTGCGCATTATTAATTACCTCTTCTAGCCTAATCTTCCAAAAAAACTCTTTCATGCTAAACGCTGATTATGCATTGACGTCTGCCCTAACGCTCAATATTTAACGAAGCAAAAAATATGACAGCTCTTTCCCGCGATTGATCTCAACATTGAGTGATGGGGAGAACGCGAGATTCACTGTCAATGTACTGCTTCAAACTGACACCAAGAAGAATTTAGCTGATTAACATTTAATTATTTTATAAAATAATTAGATCGATTTAATTACAGCGAGTTTCCATTCTCATCTGGTAATGAATTAGCCATTGGCGAACATTTATAGGCATGCAGGTTTCCGTAGTGTAGCGGTCATCACGTGCGCCTAACACGCGCAAGGTCCCCAGTTCGATCCTGGGCGGAAACAATGGTTTGATGGAAAAAGAACAACGTTTTGTTTTTAATCAACGTTTCGACTGGTTTGTAGTTATCCTTGGAATTAAGAATTGCACCAATATACTCAACGGCCTCACGAAATAATTTTAAAATTCTCTAGCAGGAGTCGGATTCGAACACGCGCCCACATTAGTGGACCCGAACGCCCTTTGGCTGCACATTAGCAGAGCAAGTTTTGAAACTTGAGTCTGGCGCCTTAGACCGCTCGGCCATCCTGACAGCTGACAACCCTCGTGCCTACTGTACTTTACGTCATTTTACTTTTTTAAATAATGGAGAAAAAAGGTTTAATTTAAAACAGAATATATATCCGAATGCAACTAACTGAACATCGTTTCTCTCATCGCATGTCATTGCTCCTTCTATGGCTTCAAGAGAAGAATCAAAATTGGCTGCTGCGGGAGGATCAAATGAATGAATTTTCAGTCAATTTTGAACGTTTGAAACAGGGGAAGTTTGCAAAGGGTTCCGAACATGCGCTTGTTTCTGTAGTGTAGCGGTCATCACATGCGCTTTATGCGCGCAAGGTCCCCGGTTCGATCTTGGGCAGAAGCATGAAAAGAGCAAAATTCAGCAACGCACTGAACTCGTGCCTCACCAGCCAAGTTTCTGTAGTGTAGTGGTCATCACGTGCGTTTCACACGCGCAAGGTCCCCAGTTCGAACCTCGGCGGAAACATAGTAAATGTGTTGCGAAGCCAGGCTGTTTATTTTCAAACTTTAACTTTATCGATCGTACATGATCGATTGTGAAAAGGTAAACCAATTTTTATATATCGTTAATTTTCGCCCCGTAATACGGGTTGCACAATCAACTATTCCTTCGATTGCTTCCAGTTCGACCGTTTTCGCCATCGAAGAGAGAAGAACTTGCCCTTTATTAATTACCTGTTCTAGGGTAATCTTCCCTATAAACTGTATCATGCTAAACACTGATTAATACACTGACGGCAGGCGAGGTCTGGCCTTCCCCCCAATATCTAACGAAGCAATAAATATGACAACTGTTTCCCCCGATTTATGTCAGGATTGAGTGATGGGGAAAACGTGAGATTCGCTGTCAATGTGCTGCTTCAAACTGACACAACGAAGAATTTTTTTAGCTGATTAGCATTTAATTATTTAAAATTTAATTGGATCGACTCACCGATTTTCTTTGATATATCAAGAAGTTTCCTCGATCCCAGTTAAACCTTTCTCATCTTTATCGGGAATGAATTAGGCATTGACTAACATTTTTCGGCATGCAGGTTTCCATAATGTGGTGGTCATCACGTGCTCCTAACAGGCGCAAGTTCCCCAGTTCGATCCTGGGCGGAACAATGGATTGATGGGAAAATTATGATTACGATTGTATCTCGATCGAAAGCAAGCACGTATTTACTTTAAGCATGGCAACTGGAAATATTTTCAGCATATTGACAGCAGTCCATGCTCGTATAAGTCTTTGGAATATATTAGGACACTTGCCGGTGAAATATTTAATATTTATTTTTTTCCGCATAAGTGTCAAATAAGTTAACAAAATACAAAATAACAGTAACTCCGAAAAACATTTTGATTTTTAATCAACGTGTCGACTTTTTTTAGTCTTCTTCAGGATTAACAATTTCATCAATATATTCAACGGCCCAAGGAGATAATTTTAAAATTTACTGTCACGAGTAGGATTCGAACCAACGCCCACATTAGTGGACCAGAACGCCCTGTCGTTGCGCATTAGCGGAGAAACTTTGGAAACTTGAATCTGGCGCTTTAGACAGCTCGACCATCCTGACAGCTGACAACCCTTGTGCCTACTGTACTTTACGTCATTTTACTTTCTTAATAATGGAGAAAAATATATCATTTAAACCAGAAAAATATATCCGACTGCAACTAACTCAACAATCGTTATTTACATCGCACGTGAGTGCCCCATTATTTATTAGCTGTTCTAGCATAATCTTCCCCTAAAAACTGTTTCATGCTAAACATTGATTAATGCATTGACGGGCAGACGTGATCTGCCCTACCGCCCAATATTTAAATTAACGAACAATAAATATGACAGCTGTTTCCCGCGATTGATCTCAAGATTGAGACATGGGGAGAACACGAGATTCACTGTCAATGTGCTGCTTCAAACTGACACCACGAAGACATTTTTTAGCTGGTTAGCATTTAATTATTTAAAAATTAACAAATCGACACAGCGATTTTTCATGATACATCGAGAAGTGTTCTCCTAGGTAAACTTTCTCCTCTGGTAATGAATTCGCCATTGGCGAACATTTATAGGCATTCAGGTTTTCGTAGTGTAGCGGTCATCGCGTGCGCCTAACACGCGCAAGGTCCCCAGTTCGATCCTTGGCGGAAACAATGGTTTGACGAAAAACGAACAACGTTTTGTTTTTAATCAAAGGTCTCACGAAATAATTTTAAAATTATCTGGCCGGAGTGGGATTCGAACCCACGGCCACATTAGTGGACCAGGACGCCCTTTGGCTGCGCATTAGCGGAGGAAGTTTTGAAACTTGAGTCTTGCGCCTTAGACCGCTCGGCCATCCTGACAGCTGACAACCCGTGTGCCTACTGTACTTTACGTCATTTTACTTTCTTAAATATTGGAGAAAAAAATGGTTCATTTAAACCAGAAAATATATCCGACTGCAACTAACTGAAAAAATCGAAAAATTCAACATGGTGGTGTGTTGCTCGTCTCAGTTCAGTAATTTAAATGGAAATATCTGTTTATCAACATGTGATTTCCAAGGAATCTATAGACATAAAGTTTCCCAAGATATAGATTATGATGGTAAACGAATCAGCTGGCATAACAATTACGAATCACTACAGAAATTTAACGAATGTGTATTTGCACAACAAGGCAAATGGAAATCGGCCGGTGGAACCTCAAAAAAGTTTGTAAGTTCTATTGCGGATTTATCCTGCACCTGATATCCCGGTAAATTAAACTCCTTGTTATTCCATGGCAAAAATGGGGACTTAGTAAACGAAATTTTGGTCTCGGTATGTAAGTCAACATCGTTTAATACTTTTGAAAACAGCGTGAAAATGTGTGACCAAAATATCCCTGTGCTTAATAGTCGGGATACTGATGGCATGACTAATTCACCACATACACAGACCTCGAACGTTGATCAATCTTCCCAAACTGTTGATCCTAACAGGAAACAATGTTTGTGCGTTGACTTGTTATCTGAGTTTGATAACATGAAAATCAATTTCGAAATTATATTAACTAGAATAGATTCTTTACAATCGCTGGCAAATACGGAAGCCATATGTTTTAGTAATGACAACATTGTGCATCTTGAATCCGTGCTTGATGGGGAGGCAAGTAAAAGTACGAAATCAGAACCCACAATAAGTCTAATGGAGAAGGAAAAGAATTCTGAAATTGAGCCACTTAAAAGCAAAATTTATTCCTTGGACATGAAATTGGAAAAATGTTTAAAGGATTATGATGCTATCTCAAATCAATCACCTATTGTTATACCCCAAGTGCCTATTGTCTCTCCACAATCGCCTATTGTTCAACCCCAAGCGCCTATTACTCCCTCGTTGCATGTTAATAAAAAGAATCATGATCAAACTCTCGAATTGCAAATACCATGTCATGACAATAAAGAGTTCCTGAATAAATTACCGCTGTGTGATACTCAAGGTTTTAATTGTAAACAAGTAAATAACCTAAATGAAACATCATTATTACCGCAGCACGTTATGGCTTCGTGCCAATCTTTGGAATCAAATAGTCCCATTTTATCTAACAGATCGAGGAAACTTTTAGGAAAAATCCCAAACGGCCACAGGCACGGTATATATCAATCTAAAACCTCAAATCAGGAAACATCATTATTACTGCAGCACGTTAATATGTCCCCTTGTCAACCTTTGGAATCAAATAGTCCTCTATTATCCAACAGATCCAAGAAATCTTTAGGAATAATTCCGAATGGTCACAAACACGGTATATGTCAATCTAAAACCTCAAGTCTAAGGGATTTTACTCAACCTCAAGGTAAAATTGCTCCTTTTCGAATGAGCCTGCCAATTATCGATCCCCGCGTATTGTCTTGGAAAAACAATCTATGGAATGGGCAATTTATCTACAATTTGTGAGTCAATTGACTCACAAATCAACATTAGTATAGAACCACCCAAGAGTTTTACATCATGTGAAGCAGAACTGACCGAGTCCAATTACCCAATAGAACCCTTCGAACATGAACTTACAGAAATTAACAAAACCAGAGAATACTTGAATAATTTATCGGAAAATGATTGCACCCCTTTCATTTCGAGGGCCTCGAATATCCCCTTATGTCCTCCTAAAAACCTTACAGATT